GTGAGTATTCTCCGAGCAAATCGTCTCAAGTGCGTTTTTGATCGTTGCGCCCTGATTAGAAATAGTGCCAACAACGCACAAACCAAGTCGCTGCTAGTTTGTGATCACATGAACAATAATCGTTTTCAGATCTGGGATTCTTGTATCTTTTACTAGATAATAAGCCACAACCTGCTTATAATTTTTACGAATCCCTCTTATCATGGAAGTAAGGGCATGATTTCTGATAAATCACTTTTTCAGAGTTCTAGTTGATTTTGTTACCTCAGAATTCAAGATTTATTAGCTGAAAATTGTACACTGTGAGCACTGGGATCAGCCCTAAACTTTGTCCAAACCCTGCAATAATCGTAAACACTAAACAAGGGTAGACATATTTCTAGTTTAACTGCCTGAAGATTTTCTCTATGGTTTATACGTAACTCTCCACCTATTATCTCATTTTTGTACATGTTCTGGGAGAACTCAACTTGCTCCCTATAAAATGCAACGTCTTCCTGCACAGGTGGTTCTGGTTAAGTGCCAGCCTGCTTCGGGTTTGTAATTAGTTGTTGCAATTTTCTGATTTCGTCGTCCTTTTTCATAATCCAGATTTCGTTTTGGCATTCCAGTTCAGCCATTTGATCCTGAAGCTCTTTTATAGTAGAATCATTATGGCATCGTATATCTGAGATTTTAAATGAGTGGTTGACCTCACGTTGGTTACTCTCGTCCATCAGACTCTTTACGTCATTTCTCAGTTTAGATTCAAGTTCTTTTAGGAAGCCAATTTCATCTTGCAGTTCAGCAATGTGTGACATCGTTACATCAGTTTGTAGCAGCACTTAAAGAATGTTGCATATCTTCGTACTCAGCGTCAAGCATAGCTTCTAAGTCTGCAACCTTCTTTTTTGACTCAATATTTTGAGCTTCAAGAGATGGTTTAGGGCTCTCTGATCTTCCTAGGTTCTTCAGTTGAGTACGCAGCATCTCTATTTCTGACTCGTATGTTTTTAGTCTTTTTATTATTTTTTTCCAGAAAATCGAGTCTGTATTGCAAGTCGATGAAATTCTTGCGCTTTTTGAGAATTTTTTTGAACTCTTTCTATTTCTTCGTTGTACGCATCCGTTACTTGGCGGAGTTCCTGACTGTAACGATCGAATTTAGAATTGGCTTCTGTGAGCTGTTTCTTCAGGTCCAAAATCTCCAGCTGATTATCTAGTTTAGTGAATTCTCTAAGCTCATTGAAAGATTCTTCCAGTTCTTTGAGTTGTCTTTTAAGTACACTTGCACGTCTTCAGCTATCACAGATTCTGCTTCGGCTAGTGCCTCCTCATATGTCTCTTCTTGAATAGGCCTCATTTCACGTCCGGATGATTCTTCTTTGGGTGGATAATTTTTCAATGGCATATACCCTAGGGATGCTTTTTTAGGTGATACGTTGCCATAGTGTCCAAAAGTATGACGTCTTAATGTTTTTTTCGGTGTTGATGCCGAGGCTCCCATTTGAAAGCGCCCGACAATAGATACTTCCGTTTTTAGTCTTTCTATCTCGAGCAGATACTCTTGTTTGCTTTTATCCATCTCTTTTAGCTTAATTGCCTGCTTTTTGAGCCGAGTTTCGAGATCGCGAGTCAAGTTCTGATATCCTTGAAGTGTCTCTTCTGTAGCTGACAAGATGTTTACTTTCGTTTTATTTTTGACAGTTTTAGTGCTTTGGGCGAATTCTGGTGTAGATCTAGTCTCCTCCTCTGCAGCTAAAGTAACATTCCCGATAATCAATGATTTGGCATTACCGCCAAGAGCCTGTGAGAGCAGTCTAGTCAATTTCGAATCGCGATAACTGATAAACTCCTTCCCCTCGCTTAGTTGCCTTATCACATTTCCTAATACTGACAAAGATTTGTTTATGTTAGCCCCCTCTTTAAGACGCTCACCAGCAGCTTTCGTCAGAGAAACTCTCTCAGAACCAGCTAAGTCCATTAAGTTAAGGTAGCTTATATGTACAGGTCCATCTTTCTGATTGGCATCTTTCGACTCCAGAATAATCCGGAAAATCGTGTGTGATCGAGATGACCTCTCATTCATGCGAGTAGCTGCAACTCGTCTGATCTTATTGCCCTGCATCATGTTCTCCATAACTTTATCAACATTGTCTACGACAGCTTCCCTTGCATCAAGCAGCACATTTCCTTTGATATCTTCTCTTATAGTTAAACCCTGATTGCTCTTATCCAGGAGGTCATTGATCTTTTCATTGTAGATTTCAATATAACTGCATCTAATCAAGTACCTCTTATCAACCTGGTCTGCCACATGCTGGAATAACTGATTGGATACTAATTGGAAAAGCCCAGGATCTGTTTTATTGCCCAAAATGGTGTGTGTTTTGCCAGAAGATGTTTGGCCATATGCAAATATTGTGGCATTGAAACCTTCCATGAAGGAATCGACTAAAGGTTTTACTACAGATCCATATACATCTGAATTTGTACATTCCTGCTTAAATACATGGTCGAATATATAAACCTCTCCATGGCGACTACTTTCATCGGCTTCCCATATGCAGTTTACTCTTACGTTCCAAAGACGCTCTAGACCATCGGCTACTTCGCGGTGGATCATTGGTCTGATCTTTGTGGCTACTTTAATATTGTCGGAAGTCATTTTGGAAGCTTGAACTGAAATTTAATTAGAACTAGGGCTATTTCACGGGTTATAAAGAGGGGCACTTTTCATAATCCAGATTTCGTTTTGGCATTCCAGTTCAGCCATTTGATCCTGAAGCTCTTTTATAGTAGAATCATTATGGCATCGTATATCTGAGATTTTAAATGAGTGGTTGACCTCACGTTGGTTACTCTCGTCCATCAGACTCTTTACGTCATTTCTCAGTTTAGATTCAAGTTCTTTTAGGAAGCCAATTTCATCTTGCAGTTCAGCAATGTGTGACATCGTTACATCAGTTTGTGTAGCAGCACTTAAAGAATCTTGCATATCTTCGTACTCAGCGTCAAGCATAGCTTCTAAGTCTGCAACCTTCTTTTTTGACTCAATATTTTGAGCTTCAAGAGATGGTTTAGGGCTCTCTGATCTTCCTAGGTTCTTCAGTTGAGTACGCAGCATCTCTATTTCTGACTCGTATGTTTTTAGTCTTTTTATTATTTTTTTCCAGAAAATCGAGTCTGTATTGCAAGTCGATGAAATTCTTGCGCTTTTTGAGAATTTTTTTGAACTCTTTCTATTTCTTCGTTGTACGCATCCGTTACTTGGCGGAGTTCCTGACTGTAACGATCGATTTTAGAATTGGCTTCTGTGAGCTGTTTCTTCAGGTCCAAAATCTCCAGCTGATTATCTAGTTTAGTGAATTCTCTAAGCTCATTGAAAGATTCTTCCAGTTCTTTGCGTTGTCTTTTAAGTACACTTGCACGTCTTCAGCTATCACAGATTCTGCTTCGGCTAGTGCCTCCTCATATGTCTCTTCTTGAATAGGCCTCATTTCACGTCCGGATGATTCTTCTTTGGGTGGATAATTTTTCAATGGCATATACCCTAGGGATGCTTTTTTAGGTGATACGTTGCCATAGTGTCCAAAAGTATGACGTCTTAATGTTTTTTTCGGTGTTGATGCCGAGGCTCCCATTTGAAAGCGCCCGACAATAGATACTTCCGTTTTTAGTCTTTCTATCTCGAGCAGATACTCTTGTTTGCTTTTATCCATCTCTTTTAGCTTAATTGCCTGCTTTTTGAGCCGAGTTTCGAGATCGCGAGTCAAGTTCTGATATCCTTGAAGTGTCTCTTCTGTAGCTGACAAGATGTTTACTTTCGTTTTATTTTTGACAGTTTTAGTGCTTTGGGCGAATTCTGGTGTAGATCTAGTCTCCTCCTCTGCAGCTAAAGTAACATTCCCGATAATCAATGATTTGGCATTACCGCCAAGAGCCTGTGAGAGCAGTCTAGTCAATTTCGAATCGCGATAACTGATAAACTCCTTCCCCTCGCTTAGTTGCCTTATCACATTTCCTAATACTGACAAAGATTTGTTTATGTTAGCCCCCTCTTTAAGACGCTCACCAGCAGCTTTCGTCAGAGAAACTCTCTCAGAACCAGCTAAGTCCATTAAGTTAAGGTAGCTTATATGTACAGGTCCATCTTTCTGATTGGCATCTTTCGACTCCAGAATAATCCGGAAAATCGTGTGAATCGAGATGACCTCTCATTCATGCGAGTAGCTGCAACTCGTCTGATCTTATTGCCCTGCATCATGTTCTCCATAACTTTATCAACATTGTCTACGACAGCTTCCCTTGCATCAAGCAGCACATTTCCTTTGATATCTTCTCATAGTTAAACCCTGATTGCTCTTATCCAGGAGGTCATTGATCTTTTCATTGTAGATTTCAATATAACTGCATCTAATCAAGTACCTCTTATCAACCTGGTCTGCCACATGCTGGAATAACTGATTGGATACTAATTGGAAAAGCCCAGGATCTGTTTTATTGCCCAAAATGGTGTGTGTTTTGCCAGAAGATGTTTGGCCATATGCAAATATTGTGGCATTGAAACCTTCCATGAAGGAATCGACTAAAGGTTTTACTACAGATCCATATACATCTGAATTTGTACATTCCTGATTAAATACATGGTCGAAATATAAACCTCTCCATGGCGACTACTTTCATCGGCTTCCCATATGCAGTTTACTCTTACGTTCCAAAGACGCTCTAGACCATCGGCTACTTCGCGGTGGATCATTGGTCTGATCTTTGTGGCTACTTTAATATTGTTGGAAGTCATTTTGGAAGCTTGAACTGAAATTTAATTAGAACTAGGGCTATTTCACGGGTTATAAAGAGGGGCAGATGTATCAGGTTGATACATTCTTTTTTTCCTCCTTTCCAGTATAGAAGATTTTTTTCTCTTGTAGGCTATGAATGCGGTCCGATAGTTTAGTAGAGCTACATTTACAGGGTGACTCAAAATCAAAGAAGAAACAGAATTGTTAAATTTCATATAGACTGTTATTGTTATTACAAAAAGAAGTTGAAGCAGCAGCAAATTCTCACAAATCTATAGATCCATCACTTTCAGCACCCGATTTTTCAACTTGAAAAATGCAGCTCGGTGAAGAATCACAAGGTAACTGTTGTCTATTCAGACAATACTCTTCTAAAAGCAACGCGAAGTTACCTAGTGCCTTACATGAATCGCCTTCATAATTCTTCATTATTGTCAATGGAAAACTGAAATTGTTGATTATTACAGTTTTTAATGCTTCAAATAAACAGATGGTGTTCGTGTTGGAAATCCCACGTCTAATCTCGCAAAACAGGTTATCCACCGGATCTTACTATCAACATCTGAAATGCCATTACTGTTTTTAGCCATGTGTACAACAGGTTTGTACGCATAAGACACTCTTACATGAAAACTGTTTATTGTCTAAAAACGAAAATACCCCATTGAAGATGAGTAATGCAATAAATATAATCCTCGAAACTTGAACTGTAATATGAACATAAAAAAACTAACAAAATGGGCCATTTAACAACATATTTGGTGTTGATATTCTACAACAAAAACAAATACTTTCTCGTATAAGGAAACATACAATAATTAACATTTATCACTTTTCACGAAACAATGTAAGTGCGCTGTGACTTTACATACTTATTACAGATTGTAGAACATTTTTTTCATTGTGTATTGTCATGTAACACCTACGTCGTTTTTTTTCTTTAACAACTGCATCAGGATCGAGAACTCTGGGCTGAGAAGTAGACGGCTTACTTTATTCGTCGTTGGTAATTTAGGATTCTTTGCATGGCTGAACGAAGCTCCCTAGGAAGTCTTGGATCTGATAAACGTCCTCTCATACGAAGTTAAATTAGAGTTTGCCTCAGGGGAACAATAAAATTTCGTCGCCTAATGGAACTTTCAGTCCCAGACTGAAAAAAAAGGAATTTACAGAAGCTGGTTGGATACCAAATAGCACAAGGCCATCTTCTCGTTCTCTAACCAGTATTGTAATTTACACACTTCCGATCTAATGCATTACCCCCCGCCTTCATAGTGTTATAAAAATAATATAGGATCTTATCAGGTTTCTTTGATTCCTCTACTATTTTGTTATCATGCTGCATAGATTGCTATACGAGAACATGTGTATTTGGTTTTGGAAGATACTACTCTAAGGCTGTACAACATAAACTTAGAAGTACCTGGCTGTGTTTCCTTCTTATTTGGAACTACATGTTGGGGTACTTGTTACTTTTTACGCTTCCTGCCGACATAGGTCAGTTGGTTGATGCGCAATTCTACATGTAATTCTACTGACGTGAACCAGTCATCTGCTGTGATATTTCTGTTCGTATAGACGAAAGCATTGAGCAGGTAGTGGTGAGTCTTTGCATCATCAGTCCATACTTATTCGGTTTAGTTTTCTTGTAGGCACAGGAAGGACATCGGCCCACGAGCATCTCGTATTTTGTAGGGGACTCACCCGAAATATAACAATTTCGACAGTTCTCTATGAGTGTCTCGAAAATTTCACGTATTTGGAGAAATTTATCGGCATTTCTCGAGTCACAGGGTTATTATTTTCCAAATTGGTTGCCACGGACTTTAGTTCAGGTAAATGCGTAATAATCGACCAGTTGCAGGCGCTCGTTTTGACCAATTGTACATGTTTTTTCCATAGGCATAGCGAGGTCGCCCATAGGAAGTTGTTCAGGTTGATCGATAGCAGCGTCGTCCTCGGCGTAGTCTATAGTGTATTGTTCATCCGTCAACAACGAAAAAATCCATTGTGAAGGAAGTTCAAATCGTACACGCAACTGACATCCTCGGATCAAATTTGACCGCAAAGTCAACAAACCAACAATTGTGATGTTTAAATTAAACTGTGGTTTGAGGTATACGTGCTCATACCGTATGAGAAGTCACGGGACCCCCACCACATAACTGAGAAAGCTCGAATCATCCGACGATATCATTAAAGGATTAATTTCTATATTCTTGAACGAATCTATAAAATCAAAGTGGCTGGGTTTCAATTTACATAGCTCTTTGTATGGTCTTGTTTGCTGATCAACATTATATGATTTCTAGACATGTTCAATCTGTGCAGCTTCTTCACTTTCATATTAATGTCAATAAGAGCATTTCATCCATTTTTGAATAAATGTGGTTCATCACAAATTGTAGAAATACTCTGAGCATTGACTATAAAATGGAATGGACTTGATCCGTGAGTATTCTCCGAGCAAATCGTCTCAAGTGCGTTTTTGATCGTTGCGCCCTGATTAGAAATAGTGCCAACAACGCACAAACCAAGTCGCTGCTAGTTTGTGATCACATGAACAATAATCGTTTTCAGATCTGGGATTCTTGTATCTTTTACTAGATAATAAGCCACAACCTGCTTATAATTTTTACGAATCCCTCTTATCATGGAAGTAAGGGCATGATTTCTGATAAATCACTTTTTCAGAGTTCTAGTTGATTTTGTTACCTCAGAATTCAAGATTTATTAGCTGAAAATTGTACACTGTGAGCACTGGGATCAGCCCTAAACTTTGTCCAAACCCTGCAATAATCGTAAACACTAAACAAGGGTAGACATATTTCTAGTTTAACTGCCTGAAGATTTTCTCTATGGTTTATACGTAACTCTCCACCTATTATCTCATTTTTGTACATGTTCTGGGAGAACTCAACTTGCTCCCTATAAAATGCAACGTCTTCCTGCACAGGTGGTTCTGGTTAAGTGCCAGCCTGCTTCGGGTTTGTAATTAGTTGTTGCAATTTTCTGATTTCGTCGTCCTTTTTCATAATCCAGATTTCGTTTTGGCATTCCAGTTCAGCCATTTGATCCTGAAGCTCTTTTATAGTAGAATCATTATGGCATCGTATATCTGAGATTTTAAATGAGTGGTTGACCTCACGTTGGTTACTCTCGTCCATCAGACTCTTTACGTCATTTCTCAGTTTAGATTCAAGTTCTTTTAGGAAGCCAATTTCATCTTGCAGTTCAGCAATGTGTGACATCGTTACATCAGTTTGTGCAGCAGCACTTAAAGAATGTTGCATATCTTCGTACTCAGCGTCAAGCATAGCTTCTAAGTCTGCAACCTTCTTTTTTGACTCAATATTTTGAGCTTCAAGAGATGGTTTAGGGCTCTCTGATCTTCCTAGGTTCTTCAGTTGAGTACGCAGCATCTCTATTTCTGACTCGTATGTTTTTAGTCTTTTTATTATTTTTTTCCAGAAAATCGAGTCTGTATTGCAAGTCGATGAAATTCTTGCGCTTTTTGAGAATTTTTTTGAACTCTTTCTATTTCTTCGTTGTACGCATCCGTTACTTGGCGGAGTTCCTGACTGTAACGATCGAATTTAGAATTGGCTTCTGTGAGCTGTTTCTTCAGGTCCAAAATCTCCAGCTGATTATCTAGTTTAGTGAATTCTCTAAGCTCATTGAAAGATTCTTCCAGTTCTTTGAGTTGTCTTTTAAGTACACTTGCACGTCTTCAGCTATCACAGATTCTGCTTCGGCTAGTGCCTCCTCATATGTCTCTTCTTGAATAGGCCTCATTTCACGTCCGGATGATTCTTCTTTGGGTGGATAATTTTTCAATGGCATATACCCTAGGGATGCTTTTTTAGGTGATACGTTGCCATAGTGTCCAAAAGTATGACGTCTTAATGTTTTTTTCGGTGTTGATGCCGAGGCTCCCATTTGAAAGCGCCCGACAATAGATACTTCCGTTTTTAGTCTTTCTATCTCGAGCAGATACTCTTGTTTGCTTTTATCCATCTCTTTTAGCTTAATTGCCTGCTTTTTGAGCCGAGTTTCGAGATCGCGAGTCAAGTTCTGATATCCTTGAAGTGTCTCTTCTGTAGCTGACAAGATGTTTACTTTCGTTTTATTTTTGACAGTTTTAGTGCTTTGGGCGAATTCTGGTGTAGATCTAGTCTCCTCCTCTGCAGCTAAAGTAACATTCCCGATAATCAATGATTTGGCATTACCGCCAAGAGCCTGTGAGAGCAGTCTAGTCAATTTCGAATCGCGATAACTGATAAACTCCTTCCCCTCGCTTAGTTGCCTTATCACATTTCCTAATACTGACAAAGATTTGTTTATGTTAGCCCCCTCTTTAAGACGCTCACCAGCAGCTTTCGTCAGAGAAACTCTCTCAGAACCAGCTAAGTCCATTAAGTTAAGGTAGCTTATATGTACAGGTCCATCTTTCTGATTGGCATCTTTCGACTCCAGAATAATCCGGAAAATCGTGTGTGATCGAGATGACCTCTCATTCATGCGAGTAGCTGCAACTCGTCTGATCTTATTGCCCTGCATCATGTTCTCCATAACTTTATCAACATTGTCTACGACAGCTTCCCTTGCATCAAGCAGCACATTTCCTTTGATATCTTCTCTTATAGTTAAACCCTGATTGCTCTTATCCAGGAGGTCATTGATCTTTTCATTGTAGATTTCAATATAACTGCATCTAATCAAGTACCTCTTATCAACCTGGTCTGCCACATGCTGGAATAACTGATTGGATACTAATTGGAAAAGCCCAGGATCTGTTTTATTGCCCAAAATGGTGTGTGTTTTGCCAGAAGATGTTTGGCCATATGCAAATATTGTGGCATTGAAACCTTCCATGAAGGAATCGACTAAAGGTTTTACTACAGATCCATATACATCTGAATTTGTACATTCCTGCTTAAATACATGGTCGAATATATAAACCTCTCCATGGCGACTACTTTCATCGGCTTCCCATATGCAGTTTACTCTTACGTTCCAAAGACGCTCTAGACCATCGGCTACTTCGCGGTGGATCATTGGTCTGATCTTTGTGGCTACTTTAATATTGTCGGAAGTCATTTTGGAAGCTTGAACTGAAATTTAATTAGAACTAGGGCTATTTCACGGGTTATAAAGAGGGGCACTTTTCATAATCCAGATTTCGTTTTGGCATTCCAGTTCAGCCATTTGATCCTGAAGCTCTTTTATAGTAGAATCATTATGGCATCGTATATCTGAGATTTTAAATGAGTGGTTGACCTCACGTTGGTTACTCTCGTCCATCAGACTCTTTACGTCATTTCTCAGTTTAGATTCAAGTTCTTTTAGGAAGCCAATTTCATCTTGCAGTTCAGCAATGTGTGACATCGTTACATCAGTTTGTGTAGCAGCACTTAAAGAATCTTGCATATCTTCGTACTCAGCGTCAAGCATAGCTTCTAAGTCTGCAACCTTCTTTTTTGACTCAATATTTTGAGCTTCAAGAGATGGTTTAGGGCTCTCTGATCTTCCTAGGTTCTTCAGTTGAGTACGCAGCATCTCTATTTCTGACTCGTATGTTTTTAGTCTTTTTATTATTTTTTTCCAGAAAATCGAGTCTGTATTGCAAGTCGATGAAATTCTTGCGCTTTTTGAGAATTTTTTTGAACTCTTTCTATTTCTTCGTTGTACGCATCCGTTACTTGGCGGAGTTCCTGACTGTAACGATCGATTTTAGAATTGGCTTCTGTGAGCTGTTTCTTCAGGTCCAAAATCTCCAGCTGATTATCTAGTTTAGTGAATTCTCTAAGCTCATTGAAAGATTCTTCCAGTTCTTTGCGTTGTCTTTTAAGTACACTTGCACGTCTTCAGCTATCACAGATTCTGCTTCGGCTAGTGCCTCCTCATATGTCTCTTCTTGAATAGGCCTCATTTCACGTCCGGATGATTCTTCTTTGGGTGGATAATTTTTCAATGGCATATACCCTAGGGATGCTTTTTTAGGTGATACGTTGCCATAGTGTCCAAAAGTATGACGTCTTAATGTTTTTTTCGGTGTTGATGCCGAGGCTCCCATTTGAAAGCGCCCGACAATAGATACTTCCGTTTTTAGTCTTTCTATCTCGAGCAGATACTCTTGTTTGCTTTTATCCATCTCTTTTAGCTTAATTGCCTGCTTTTTGAGCCGAGTTTCGAGATCGCGAGTCAAGTTCTGATATCCTTGAAGTGTCTCTTCTGTAGCTGACAAGATGTTTACTTTCGTTTTATTTTTGACAGTTTTAGTGCTTTGGGCGAATTCTGGTGTAGATCTAGTCTCCTCCTCTGCAGCTAAAGTAACATTCCCGATAATCAATGATTTGGCATTACCGCCAAGAGCCTGTGAGAGCAGTCTAGTCAATTTCGAATCGCGATAACTGATAAACTCCTTCCCCTCGCTTAGTTGCCTTATCACATTTCCTAATACTGACAAAGATTTGTTTATGTTAGCCCCCTCTTTAAGACGCTCACCAGCAGCTTTCGTCAGAGAAACTCTCTCAGAACCAGCTAAGTCCATTAAGTTAAGGTAGCTTATATGTACAGGTCCATCTTTCTGATTGGCATCTTTCGACTCCAGAATAATCCGGAAAATCGTGTGTGATCGAGATGACCTCTCATTCATGCGAGTAGCTGCAACTCGTCTGATCTTATTGCCCTGCATCATGTTCTCCATAACTTTATCAACATTGTCTACGACAGCTTCCCTTGCAGCACATTTCCTTTGATATCTTCTCATAGTTAAACCCTGATTGCTCTTATCCAGGAGGTCATTGATCTTTTCATTGTAGATTTCAATATAACTGCATCTAATCAAGTACCTCTTATCAACCTGGTCTGCCACATGCTGGAATAACTGATTGGATACTAATTGGAAAAGCCCAGGATCTGTTTTATTGCCCAAAATGGTGTGTGTTTTGCCAGAAGATGTTTGGCCATATGCAAATATTGTGGCATTGAAACCTTCCATGAAGGAATCGACTAAAGGTTTTACTACAGATCCATATACATCTGAATTTGTACATTCCTGATTAAATACATGGTCGAATATATAAACCTCTCCATGGCGACTACTTTCATCGGCTTCCCATATGCAGTTTACTCTTACGTTCCAAAGACGCTCTAGACCATCGGCTACTTCGCGGTGGATCATTGGTCTGATCTTTGTGGCTACTTTAATATTGTTGGAAGTCATTTTGGAAGCTTGAACTGAAATTTAATTAGAACTAGGGCTATTTCACGGGTTATAAAGAGGGGCAGATGTATCAGGTTGATACATTCTTTTTTTCCTCCTTTCCAGTATAGAAGATTTTTTTCTCTTGTAGGCTATGAATGCGGTCCGATAGTTTAGTAGAGCTACATTTACAGGGTGACTCAAAATCAAAGAAGAAACAGAATTGTTAAATTTCATATAGACTGTTATTGTTATTACAAAAAGAAGTTGAAGCAGCAGCAAATTCTCACAAATCTATAGATCCATCACTTTCAGCACCCGATTTTTCAACTTGAAAAATGCAGCTCGGTGAAGAATCACAAGGTAACTGTTGTCTATTCAGACAATACTCTTCTAAAAGCAACGCGAAGTTACCTAGTGCCTTACATGAATCGCCTTCATAATTCTTCATTATTGTCAATGGAAAACTGAAATTGTTGATTATTACAGTTTTTAATGCTTCAAATAAACAGATGGTGTTCGTGTTGGAAATCCCACGTCTAATCTCGCAAAACAGGTTATCCACCGGATCTTACTATCAACATCTGAAATGCCATTACTGTTTTTAGCCATGTGTACAACAGGTTTGTACGCATAAGACACTCTTACATGAAAACTGTTTATTGTCTAAAAACGAAAATACCCCATTGAAGATGAGTAATGCAATAAATATAATCCTCGAAACTTGAACTGTAATATGAACAAAAAAAACTAACAAAATGGGCCATTTAACAACATATTTGGTGTTGATATTCTACAACAAAAACAAATACTTTCTCGTATAAGGAAACATACAATAATTAACATTTATCACTTTTCACGAAACAATGTAAGTGCGCTGTGACTTTACATACTTATTACAGATTGTAGAACATTTTTTTCATTGTGTATTGTCATGTAACACCTACGTCGTTTTTTTTCTTTAACAACTGCATCAGGATCGAGAACTCTGGGCTGAGAAGTAGACGGCTTACTTTATTCGTCGTTGGTAATTTAGGATTCTTTGCATGGCTGAACGAAGCTCCCTAGGAAGTCTTGGATCTGATAAACGTCCTCTCATACGAAGTTAAATTAGAGTTTGCCTCAGGGGAACAATAAAATTTCGTCGCCTAATGGAACTTTCAGTCCCAGACTGAAAAAAAAAGGAATTTACAGAAGCTGGTTGGATACCAAATAGCACAAGGCCATCTTCTCGTTCTCTAACCAGTATTGTAATTTACACACTTCCGATCTAATGCATTACCCCCCGCCTTCATAGTGTTATAAAAATAATATAGGATCTTATCAGGTTTCTTTGATTCCTCTACTATTTTGTTATCATGCTGCATAGATTGCTATACGAGAACATGTGTATTTGGTTTTGGAAGATACTACTCTAAGGCTGTACAACATAAACTTAGAAGTACCTGGCTGTGTTTCCTTCTTATTTGGAACTACATGTTGGGGTACTTGTTACTTATTTTTACGCTTCCTGCCGACATAGGTCAGTTGGTTGATGCGCAATTCTACATGTAATTCTACTGACGTGAACCAGTCATCTGCTGTGATATTTCTGTTCGTATAGACGAAAGCATTGAGCAGGTAGTGGTGAGTCTTTGCATCATCAGTCCATACTTATTCGGTTTAGTTTTCTTGTAGGCACAGGAAGGACATCGGCCCACGAGCATCTCGTATTTTGTAGGGGACTCACCCGAAATATAACAATTTCGACAGTTCTCTATGAGTGTCTCGAAAATTTCACGTATTTGGAGAAATTTATCGGCATTTCTCGAGTCACAGGGTTATTATTTTCCAAATTGGTTGCCACGGACTTTAGTTCAGGTAAATGCGTAATAATCGACCAGTTGCAGGCGCTCGTTTTGACCAATTGTACATGTTTTTTCCATAGGCATAGCGAGGTCGCCCATAGGAAGTTGTTCAGGTTGATCGATAGCAGCGTCGTCCTCGGCGTAGTCTATAGTGTATTGTTCATCCGTCAACAACGAAAAAATCCATTGTGAAGGAAGTTCAAATCGTACACGCAACTGACATCCTCGGATCAAATTTGACCGCAAAGTCAACAAACCAACAATTGTGATGTTTAAATTAAACTGTGGTTTGAGGTATACGTGCTCATACCGTATGAGAAGTCACGGGACCCCCACCACATAACTGAGAAAGCTCGAATCATCCGACGATATCATTAAAGGATTAATTTCTATATTCTTGAACGAATCTATAAAATCAAAGTGGCTGGGTTTCAATTTACATAGCTCTTTGTATGGTCTTGTTTGCTGATCAACATTATATGATTTCTAGACATGTTCAATCTGTGCAGCTTCTTCACTTTCATATTAATGTCAATAAGAGCATTTCATCCATTTTTGAATAAATGTGGTTCATCACAAATTGTAGAAATACTCTGAGCATTGACTATAAAATGGAATGGACTTGATCCGTGAGTATTCTCCGAGCAAATCGTCTCAAGTGCGTTTTTGATCGTTGCGCCCTGATTAGAAATAGTGCCAACAACGCACAAACCAAGTCGCTGCTAGTTTGTGATCACATGAACAATAATCGTTTTCAGATCTGGGATTCTTGTATCTTTTACTAGATAATAAGCCACAACCTGCTTATAATTTTTACGAATCCCTCTTATCATGGAAGTAAGGGCATGATTTCTGATAAATCACTTTTTCAGAGTTCTAGTTGATTTTGTTACCTCAGAATTCAAGATTTATTAGCTGAAAATTGTACACTGTGAGCACTGGGAT